GCCAACAACTGTACACCTCATACAATAGTTGTACGGTCATGCTGCACACTAAGTAATCCCCAAAGGGAAACTCACGACATTTTTCGAAGTGAAGAGGGCAGTGAGACAAGCTGGCTGCCTACTATCTCCAATGATTTTCCTGATTGCGATAGATTGGATATTGTGACAGACAGCGAGCAACGAGGAGACAGGCATAAAATGGACCCACACAAAAACTTGGAGGATCTAGACTTCGCTGATGATTTATGTCGGATTTCCCACAAACTGGAAGATATGCAAGTGAAAGGCAACAATTTGGCAGAAGAAGCATCCAGAGAAGATGGGACCTCAGGTGAACATAAAGAAAACAGAGTTGGTGAAGATTCCCGGCCAACAGCAACAGCGACAACAATCAGCCTAAATGGGAGGAACCTGAAAGAAGCAACCTACTTTACCTACCTGAGAAGCATCGTTTCAACTACAGGCGGACGGGACTGACGAGTATATCAAAGCGAGGATCCAGAAACAATAATAATATAATTTCAATAACACGTGTATGCAGGGAATGCAGCTGTAAACATCTGATGAAGAAAATCAAGATATGAACCATTTCACATAACGTGATTATCAGTGAAGCAGAATTTCATTTGAGGCCTATCTATCCAAAGACTGAGTCATTCATTCGTCACATGTGCACATCTCATACATGCAAAAATATAAACCATTTTACGTATTACTTGTATGAATACAGTCTATGCATACTGTGTTTATTATTCTTAATATTTCACCTGTCATATGTACCATGTTTGACTATTGAGAATAATACATTGTCTACTATGGTTAATACTGTACTTGAATGAGCGAAAGGTTCCAACTTAAAGCTATTGATTGATCCCATCTTGTTGGGATCATTCTTGTTGGTTCTTACCACGTATTCCCTCCCTAAGAAACCATGGAACAGTGTAGGTGACTGACAGTATTGTTGGAGAATCACCTTTGAATGTATATGACTCATAAGAGTGTCATAATCTACATAGGAGAAGGTGGCAAATAGTGTGGTGAGTGTCAGCTCAGTCTTAGTTTATTTGTTGCTTACATTCAGAACTTAATACTGATATGCCGCTATTCACAGAATACCCTCCTTAAATGATGAGATAAGAAAATGACCAGATGACGAACACATGCACATCACCTATCATTCTAGTAATCGTGTCGGCTTAAATCGGACTCAGATATATAACATTGACAAAACACGGGATTACATAAAAGAGCACGAAAAATATTTCAGATATAACACTCAGATAGAACTAATAATAAGTAAATAGAAAGAATACAAATTTCTTCTAGCGATATACGGAAGGGGTTTTTCGATCAATTAACTTTAAGAAATATTTGAGCTATGCGTAAATTTTAAAAGTCAGAAAAGTACAAATCTAAAATGTTGAGGTGTCTAAGCTAATTAACACCAAATGTGATTATTCTGAGCTGCGGTTAGCAAAAAAACGTTGCGAATCCTTGTCGAAGATGATACATGTTTATAAATGAATGTAAAGGTCATGAATAAAAAGATTCGAATAAATATCCTTTAACTTAGAGAGTGAAACATAAGAAAGGAATCCAAAGGAAATACCGTATACAGATTAGAAGGTAGTTACTTTGAACTAAACAGAATGTCTACAGATCAAGCGGAAATCAGTAACGATGGTTCCGGAGCAAAAATTGATGAAAACATTCATAGTACTTATTTGTGTGAAGTAGTGTAAAGTTGAATGCAAATGAGAGGATTATAAAAAATAGATAGATATGAAAGAAACTGAGTGACACATGTCTCATCTATTAGGCTATGTGTACAGCCTCTTAGAGAAACATCCCACTAACTTACAAATTTCACCTTGCTAATTATGTACTCTATATGTCAGGAATGCCTGTTCATCTCGGCTGATTCAAATGAAGGGCAGAGAATCCAAGATTATACATCATTACTTGTGTATGCCTGATTTTGCGGTGACAGGTTTAAATTACACACTCTCATCAGAGTCGGATATTTAGTAATAGGAATACTATTAAGCGAAATATGCAACCAACAGAATCCAGGTTTGCAAACATTGGATTGGGAAACTTACACAAACATACAGACACATACACATATATTCAATAACCCCGATCATCAGAACCTCAATAATTTTGTTTCGATTATACTAAGTATTGTAATCGAATGACCTCAGAACACAAATCTGTGTAAGGTTCATATCAGGTGAGTTTTGTTCGTGATAGGATTAACAGTCATTCCACTGTTGTTCTCTCGTTCTCTTCTCACCTGCTTGTCATCAAGAGTGGAATTCAATGTCTCTGTCAATTAATCCTATTTGTGAATTTCTGTTATCTAATAAGTGTATTGTTGTGGTAGATTATATTTTACATTACAGGCTCAGACAATTAAAAACAGATCAATTCAGTCTTCATGATGATCGAAATGAATTCGCCTCCTGTCTGTGAATAAGCTTTAGTGGGCAGTCTTACAAAACGCACACAACTTTGTTGTGTCACTTCTCTTTCAATCCAGCTTGAGTTCTGTTGACCACTCGATCTATCTCTGCTCCCTTTCCTCTCTTACAAATGTTGCATATGTTGACACTCTACAGTACATATGCCTTTTCCAAGACCATTAGTTGCAACTAAACTGACAAATTCTACTCCAGATGTCTGCTTCATAATATTGTACAACAAGTGCACCAGTTTAAATAAATATTGCTAACCAGAATATTCACGACTGATATTATCAGAAGTTCATATCTTTCAATTCATTTGACAAAGGAATACTACAAGGATTATTTGAGAGTCATTTCTTCGGAAGATAATTATTCTCACAAGTGGACTTAACAGGAGAAAGGTTGGAAGTGACCATTTTGTATGTGGTGCCAATTCATGGCCAAACTCACGTTATGCAAGTAAGTGACCTAAAACATTCAGAGTATAAGAATGCACCGATAAATGATCAGATCGGATTCGTCCCACTTGCAATATCCTGAAAGAAAAGTGTTGATTCTTATCACAGAAAGCCTTTCACACGATCTCAGTACAGAATTTATGTCACAACATGAGCAGACTCCACAACACTGTCAGACTATTATTCAGTCAGTAACAATATGGAGTTTGTCTATTAACAAGTGACACTATGTGACGCTCTATTTTATGCAACCCTCAAGAAGCAAGACTTTCGAATATCTCTTTCTGAAATTCGAAACCAATACACGATATAATTCAGCATTAAGATTGGGTTGATGAGAGATCACAAATGGCATAACAACTGAAGAATGCTCTTATGTGGAGATCGCAGTGTTAGCAGTCTAAAGAGCAGATGTGAATTGCGGGCACATAAAATTCATAGAATTACGACTTCCCGGATCAAGACAACATGAAGGAAGCTAGTGTCAAGGAGTGGAGACTGAAAACTAATCATACTGACATTGCAATATTCAAGACAGAGTAGTCAGTATATTCTCATTTGCAAAAGGGTAGTTCTCAAAGAAGAGCACGCATGGAATGAAAGAGGTGAACGTTGTTATACACGAAGCTTAAGAAGGCGACCTGCTTTTCCTAAGTCAGAAAACTGAAATATGAAATGTGGATGGGCTTGTGTGTTCAAAATGGAGCGCCAATTTCTACGTCTCCCTGATATGACTACTTCTGTCTCCATTTTGTGCATTCGCTTATCCATATGTATGCACGTTTTTTCATTAGTCTGATTTCCTTCTCTTTATATTCAGGAGACCACTCTAATCACACATATGTTGACCGATTATCCATCGACCACCACACATTACACAGATGTGACACGCATTGTGTCACTTTTTAAACTTGATGCCATATGCAAAGAATTTCTTCCAAAGAACAGAAAGCTTCTGAAAGATTCTAGACTATTCAAGAACAATTGATTACCTATCAGTGAAGCATATTCATTACAAATATACGTGAAATCAATAAGAAAAAATTCAACCGGACGACAGTTTACTAAGATGTGCGAGAATGGGAATCTTACAAGAAGGCTGGTGGGAAATTTCACAATCTGCATAATGATGAATTGTGCACATATCTGCATCAGTGTGAATGACTTCCATCATTCCGTCAATGTGTACAACATTGATCCTTATCATCACGAGGAATCCAGTCGAATAGCAAACCTCACCCTACATGAATCAAACCCACAGTCAACATCGTATTCCACCACCGTGATGTATTCACCTGATCGCAAATCATATGCCCATGCTACTTCATTGCATGCAATCGCACACGTTCAGTGTTAAACATTCTGTCTTTGATTAACATACTAGGCCTAACTTTATTGATAACGGCTAAATAGGTTTATGCAACATGTTTCAATAAATGCAGTCACACAAGCAAGAGTGAACGCACCTACAGATATTCCTCTCAAGCCACCCAGCATCGAGTAGTGTATGGTATAAAAAAGAAGAGCTTAGGTTGCAATACATAGGTTATGTGATTCGGTAGAAAGAAATGGAATGAATCACACTCTGACACTGATGCGCTGCACAATCCAATAGCCTAGATTCACGACATGACCGAAGCCATGATTGTGTTAGTGTTCACGCAACACTTCCCACAAGTTATGACACAAACCACTTCATTTTGATAAGCGTCGGACATTCATTTCACCCAAATATCGTATGTTTCTACCATATATAATATCACACCCCGAATAACAAACTGCCTATTTCCCTATTACTGTCACGAGATGTGTCAATTCTCAAGAACAACTATCGAGTTAATCAAAGGTCCAAGCTAATCGATTTGCAGTCACATTTCACACCTTTTTCACGTTAATCTCACTCCAGTGCAATAAAATATGTGCAGTACTAAGAATTGAGGTCGAGATCACGCAGTCCTTAATTGACGTGTGAATGTGACGATCTACCTCAATCACCTCAAAATCGACAAGGAGTCACATGTGAATTCAAATGTGTATAAAAGGTGTATTGATCAGATCTGTTAAGCAATACTTCTGAACATTTCACACTACATTCCCCTGCTTAGTACAGAGAGTCAGTTTATTAATTCATTGATTTAATTTCGCCTCATTATGGGAACATTCTCATCCTTACCATCCTCATTTCATTATATATTTTTTCTCATTTGCAGGATGAATTTGAATCTTTTCTTATGGACGATGTTCCTTTTGACTGTCTATCATCACTTATTATCCGAAAATGTAGCTTTCGGCCAAGATGTTACAGGTGAGTAGATTGATATGACTTTTTGTCCCTGCCTTTCATAATATCAAACGCGCATCACAATTTCCTACTAGTTAGACCATGTTGTAAATATTCTAGTAACATTCAAATGGCCTCACATCCATAATGGTTTAGATTGTGTAATGTCAAATTCAGAACAACACCTAATCTGAGCGCAGTTGTTGATAAGCATTTGAAGCATATCAGATCCACTCATAGAGCTAATGTGTTTTGGTGTGCATGAGATGATCTTAGCAGTCCTAGAGTGGCAAGTGACATAAATGCTCATTGAGTGAGTTGTTCATTATTTCCTTGTGGGTTTGTTTGCACATACACAGAGATACATAATCATATCATGTCCAACACTGTCAGCTTCATTCTAAAAATTAACTCTTCATCGAAATCTTTTCATTTATCTTAAAGATGACGTAAACCTTGGAAATGGAACTCAGAGAACAACACCAGACGATGACGAAGATGATGATGATGATGACAATAAGGAAAATGAAAACGATGCTGATACAACTGACGATGGTGTTGATGATGATAATAGCAGTGATGATGACCAAAATGATGACGTTGACAGTAATGAGAATGATAATGATGATGATGAGGAGGAGGAGGAGGAGGAGGAGGATGACAGAGAAAACAATGTGAAGAAGACAGCCAACCCACCTCCTTCTTAAACCTTCAAATAATCCCGGGTTGATATCCTCTGTTTGTTTCACTTCGTATTGTCTATTCGATTATCTGGTGCATTGGAATGCGAACTGTATGTAGTGATATTTCAACTTAAAAATTTTTATTGGATATTCAAAACAATAAATATTTGGTCGAATAATTGTTTTTGATAAGTATATATTCATAATTATTATTATTGTTTCCTTTAATTCCTAGAGGAACATAGGGCTTTAGGCGTGCGTCTCCATCGCATTCGGTTCTCTGCTAAAGTCTTCACCTGGCTCCAAGTCTGCCCACACGTTTTCATCTCCTCTTCACATGACCTCCTCCAAGTCACCCTCGTACTGACGACCAACTCGCCGCTTCCCTTTCGGGTTCCACTAGAAGGCTTGTCTAGTGATGTCACTTGATGGATTCCTCAGAGTATGGCCAATCCATCTCCATTTCTTCTAGCCTATTTGTTTCACAATCGGTTCCTGGTTGGTTTGCTTCCAGGGATCTCTATTGCTGATCTTTTCTGGCCATCTGATCTTGAGTATTGAACGAAGACAGCTGTTAATGAAGGTTTGTAGTTTGTTTGAGGTGCTCTTTATGACGCGCCAAGTCTCTGATCCGTATAGTAGCACTGACTTCAGATTGAAGTTGAAAATCGGAATCTTAATCTTCATGCTGAGTGCTGTTGACCTACACACAGACTTGAGAGTAATGAAAGCTTGTCTTGCTTTCCCGATCCGCATTTTGATATCCTCGTCAGTTCCGCCTGTAGTTGAAACGATGATTCCCAGGTAGGTAAAGGAGATTGTTTCTTTTAGGTTCCTCCTATTTATGCTGATTGTTGTCTGTTGTTGTCGCTGTTGGTGTTGCTATGGGCCAGGAATCTTCATCACCTCTGTTTTCTCTATGTTCACCTGGAGTCCTATCTTTGGTGCTTCTTCTGCCAACTTGTTACTTTTCACTTGCATATCTTCCAGTTTGTGGGAAATCAGACATATATCATCGGCGAAGGCCAGATCCTCCAAGTTTTTTGTGTGAGTCCATTTTATGCCTGTTTCCTCATTGCCCGCTGTTTGTCGCATTATCCAATCTACTGCAATGAGGAAAATCATTGGCGAAAGTAGACAGCCTTGTCTTACTCCTGTCCTCACTTTGAAGGATTCCGTAGGTTTCCCGTTGTGGATTGCGTGGCATGCAGCATTGTCGTACAGCTGTTGAATGAGATGTATGATTATTGACGGCACCCCGTAGTAGCGAAGTAGTTGCCAAATCACCTCTCGATCGACGCTGTTGAAGGCCTTTTCAAAGTCGATGAAGTTGAGATAGAGAGATGGCTGCCATTCCAAGCTTTGTTCAATGATGATCCGTAATGTGGCCATCTGATCAATAGATGACTTGTTTCTCCTGAATCCAGCCTGTTCATCCAGGGCATGTTTGATTCTTTCCAAGATGATGCGGCTTAGTATTTTGCTTGAGATGGACAGGAGCATAATTCCGCGCGTATTCATGCTCTAAATTTATATGTCCACTCACATTAGCATACAATAGCCAGTGTGAAGAAAAGAATAATACGGTAAATAGAAACATTTGAGATTCATTTCACAGATTGAGAATTCTGAATTTTTAGTGTGTGGGTAATATCTAATATGAGTATTAGAATATGTTTCCACTCTTTAAAGTTTAACTGAATATGAATTATTCAGATATCCTTATGTCATATACAATTTCTTGATTGATGTGATTAGTTGGGAATTACTTACGTCAAAGTGCAGTGTTTGCTGATAAGATCGAACTAATCTGAGCACTTCACTAGATAATACATTAAGTTGATCTCAGCTCAGATACTTGAATGACTTGGAACCTCTGAAATTCATGTTAGCTAACCAACCGTTTGCTAGAAATCACTAGTATTTGATGTGATTGACAGTAAAGTTATATAAACATTTTATAAAGGGATTTATTGAATTTGCCGAGCCTCTGGTGCTCAGTTTGATAGCTTTCAATGAATTTCATAGGATAGTTATTATTTAATAATACTTTAGTGAGGTCTTACTTTCAGCAGGTTAGCCATCTCCTAGTCTATCGGGCGACTACATTGCAGTAGAAAAACCTTTATCTAGATAACTACAACTATGGTTTGCATGTTCAAAAACTTATCAGTATTGTCGATGTCATGAGTCAGAAAAGAATATATCTAGTAATCAACCAGTAAGTGACACCATTAGGCTCTGATGATATTAAGGCCCTAGAAAATGGATAAGACTTCAATGTGACAACTGATGTACTAACGCCTAGAGACATTTTTCCTAATGCAGCAGTAGTACTAAGTACAAATGATAAGGTAGTTGCTAGTCAGCTTTAGTTACGAAGTATATTAACACAGAAACGTTGAAAAAGCAAATAAAAGAACTTATCAAAACACGAAACGTCAGTTTTGAGAAATTTAAGTAATACTAAGACTACAGTAATTGCGAAATCAGACAACAGGAATGCAACGGTAGTTTTAAACAATATAGGTCGTATCAGAAAGTTTAGTGAAAACATTCATTTGGGTCCGTATGAACAGATTAAGGGACTTGTAGGTACGCCTATGTATATGATCAACTAACCTACATTTGGTATGGTATACCAGATATAGTCATCTTTGGATGATTTGAAACGGTTTAACCCAACACCTAATGCCTTTATCATCCTAGTAGAAGGTACTATCAGAATGCATGAAGATGAATTCTCTATTTACCTTAAAGTCGACTTTAGGAACAACCAAACGCGTAAGTTATCTAAATATTTGACATCAGTTTTGCGAGCCATGAGGGTTACTAAAATTCTAGACTAAGTGATTCGAAATAATTAAGACGAAGACTAAGGGGAATTGAAATGGAAAAATTGAATAATCTTGATGTAGCAATATTATGCACCAGTATCCCACTTAATACAGATTTGAAAGTAGGCAGGAATGAACTGAACATTGACCTAAATTCACAATTTAAAAAAATAAGACATTCGTAAGAGAAATAATATTAGCTGGACAATTGTTTTATGTTCGCAGTCTTAAAATTTCAAAATAAAAGACAAATTAACAAATATGTTTGCAACAGGGTTACCAATATTTCTAGTAGTAGCATACATACTTTTTGGATAGCTGGTAACCTAAAGCTATTAGGACTTTCAGTCCTGATTCCAGGTTGCAGTGAAAATGTGTTGACAACAAACTGGCAAAGTTAAACTATCATAGCTTAAACGAAAAATCAGAGTTCAGATGCAGTAGTCGTTGAAAAATGCAATTAAAGCACTGCAAACATGACATCATGCTATATATAGCTGCCGCTATGTGTTGTTAGAATTTCTCCCAGACACTGAACAGATGAGATATAGAGAAATCATAGCATACGCGATAGATGCATTCATCCTAGTGACTATAGGTCATGATACTTTGAGATATACTCATATTTCTGACACTGTTCTTTGACTTACTTCTAAATCTAACCCTAATCCTGACTCATTATCCTCACCTTAACTCTTGACTCTAAACCCTATCCAAAAAAGCCATAACCCTGAATAATAGTATAGTATTTTTGATAGTCTGTCTGCACCTCGTGTATCATACTCACATACCCCGTATCTATTCCAATTCACTTGTCCATGCCTGATGCTGAAATATCATTTGCGTAGGAGAATTCACTCCATTGAGTAAGTTCAGCGCTTAACGGTGACTGAGATTATCTCTGCTTTACCACTGCTCAGTATCATCAAGCGAACATTCACATTATTACTCTGATTATTTCGCCTCCTTCATAATGATAATCCAGAGTGTAATTCATTGATTTCACAGTACACAGTCAACACACTGCAAGTTCAAACATTCCGTATATGAATTCTGCATGATGTTCACTGTGAAGCCACACCTGTTTATAGTTGCATGTCAGACGTATCCTGAAACACACAGGCATCATCATGATTCGGTTATTGTGGTTCATTCGCAAAAAACAAGCAGTGGAATCTTCTATTCAGTCATCAGAATAATGTTTATTACTGGAGGAAAATCTTGTCTCAAACATCTTGCGATTTCGATTGGAGTATATACTCCATATTTTCACAAGATTGAATATTCGTCATTGGTAGAGAAAAGTTGCATTGGATAGTGATCAAATTCCATGTTACACGCGTCAACGAAGTTACAATGATAAAAATATTAACGTCAAGGCTTAGACCCCAGTCTCCTGGAATAGAGACTTCGAAACAGAATACGGTACTAAATGAGGGATTTACAGACTTTATCACGGGGCTAACGCTTCTGTGTCAATAATGGATAAAATTACCGTTCAACTGACTCACACCTAACACTGAGGTAGCCAGTATCATAGAATGATGTGATGATTCGATTCTCGACGAATTTGAAAGAAGTAACTATTTACTCAAAGTGGATTCGATGATGAAATCACTGGAACATCTAACTGTATGTATCAAACGGAGTGTATTATTGTGAGTGGATACATTTATCGTCCGGAAAGACAACTCCTCTCTCACATGTCTGAATATATGACCTGCTGCTTAGAGAAGTCCTTCAGCAACAAGCTGTTTGATAAGAGAGTATGACAGGGATAACCTACGTAATAGTAAGTATACCATGAAAATCTTACGATCTTCACGAGACTTGTTGTTCGAGTGCTTTTCAGAAAAGAGAAACAACTAGTGAGCAATTGGGAATTCAGAAATTATTTTGAATAAAATGTTAGCCAGTCGCACAGAATATTTTATTCGTTGATTTGAACACAGATTTATGCATCTCATCAAATGGTATGTATTTTGAGTAATGAATGAATCGACAGCCATCGAAAAGGCATCTTCATTCGCTTGTCGTTCTTCTCTTCATTCCTTCTTCAGATTATCACTGTTTACGGGAATTGGACCGGACGTTGGTGGATAAGGTGGATAATATGACCAGTATGGACTCCACTGACACCAGATACGACCATAAAAATCACGAATACACTGAGGTGGATAATACCATTGACTTGTGAACCATGATGACCAAAATGGATATTGACCGTATATAGGAAAATTTGCTGGAAATTCTAGTGAAAATATTTCCGGAAGAGAAAACAATGAAAGTACTTTGTGAGTGGATATTTATTGCAATGTGATTTTGAATTTCGCCAACC